AGTTGGATCAACACTTGGACCATAATTATAGGCCTAAGCTCTGTGCAGCCCATTAAGCTGGTTGGCAACGTGCTGGGTAGGACCAGATCACATGACAGTGCATACGTCTATAAATATGGAATTTATGAACATCACAAGCCACACCTTCATCTGAAATGTGAAAGACTCCATATGTAAGGGTCATATGTTCACTCTATTGGAGTCAAAGAGGTTCAGAGAGTACTCTGAAACGATGATAACAGATCATAGTTGTCCACTGTTGGCCCACAGAAGGCCCCGATGCTGTTAAATACTGTATTGCATGTTTCAAAAATGCCTTTTGGAATTTATAACAAAATCCAATTATCAAGTAGCTCTTTACAAAGACCACAGTTTATGGAGGGGTTATAGCCAATATCTATGCAAGCAAGTACTATTTTCACTCATTTAAGTTTTCCCCAAATGACTCTTTTAAATGCTTCCATTCTTAGTATAAATTTCAGAATTATCCACGGTGTGAGCAGAGGATGCACATAACAACACTGGGAGAGAAAGCACGGAAGAAGTAAAATTAGATGCGGAGTTGCAGCAACTCCATTCTAAATGTTCCATAAATGTGTGTAGCTCATGTTTATTTTTACATACTTCACCAGGAAACAGCAACTGCAACATCTCGTTCCTGATGGTAGCTTCAGGCTAAGAGGAGGCGTGAAGGGAGAACAGCACACAATAAACAAACCAACAACAAGCCTCCCACACAAGGCAGATCCCAACTTCCACTGCAGGTATCAGCTACAGCAATCTGGAAGTCTGCAGCACGCTCTGGGTGAACAGTGATGATTCCTCAGTAGCATCAAATTTGAATTGGGGTAAATTTGTCGCCACTTAGCTAAGAAAATTTAGCTTTAGTTCCAAATCTTCAAATTGTATCTTTGAATTGTATTCACTGGAAAGTGCTGCATGATGAAAAACTTTGTTTTCACCCTATTGGTTGGTTTAATCAATTATTGACTTTGTTTCATGAGAGTAAATGAATGTTTTATTACCAAATAGAAAGCAAAATTAAAATATTTGCAATAAGAATACAGATGCATCTTATATGATTACTGCTTCCAGATTTCCTTACCATTGTTTATTCCAGACTATACCTTTACAGTCAAGACAGACATTGTGGTGACTATTCTCGGTTATCAACTTGACCATATCTGGAATGAACTACCATCCAAAAACAGAAACACACCTGGGAGAGATTTTCTGCTTGGTTTGCAGTGAATGAATCCACTTCTAGTCTGGACCTTTGAGGTAGAAAGACACACACTTTTCATTGAGGTCTTAAGGCTCGAAGACACAAGTCTTTAATTTGGGTCTCGAGGAGGGAAGACATACCTTAAATGTGGGCCATGCCTTCTGCTGGAAGTCTATATAAGGACATAGAAGAAGGAAGCATTTGCTTTTTGCCTGCTTGCCCTTATCTTGCTAGCACATCTATTCCTTCACCAGCATTGCAACCTTCTTCTTCAGGATTCCAGCATATAGAGAAGACCAGCTGAGATATCCAACCTTGTAAGACTGAGTAGCTATTAGATTCTTGAATTTTCGAATTTTCCATTCATCAGCTAGCCATTGTTGGATTAGCTGGACTGCAGCCTGTCATTCCAATAAATCCCATATATATATGTGTGTGTGTGTGTGTGTTTATTCCATAAGTTCTGTGACTCTAGAGAATGCTGGCTAATACAGACATCCATTATTTAATAACTTGTTTTAATATTCTAAAGGCATGTCAAACTCAAAACACAAATGTAACCCATGATCATATTGCCTCTAAAAAGTCTCCAGAGACTGGGCTTGGTCGCATTCACCTATAAATCCCAACACTTAGGAGATGGGAGCAGGATGACTGTCTTTAAGACTGGTCTGGGATACACTATAAGGCCCAGGCCAGCCTGTGCTGTATAGGGAGACCTTGACTCAACAGGAAGATAGACAGACACATTCCAGATGAATACCTCCATGTTAGTGGGAGCCAGCAGCCTTTTACCTCTAGGAAACCACAGCCCAGCCACTGACTCCTGCACTCATCAGCCACATTTCTCCTTTGCGTCTGTCACTTCTCTCCTTTGATGAGGTATTTCCACAAATCCTAGTTAGCGTCTCATACCCAGTTACAGGACTATGCAACCAATTTTCCTGCTCAAATTGTTCTCCAGAATCACACTAAAATAACATTTTCAAAATGAGGTGGGATTGTGATCACTATTCTAGGTTGTTATATGTCTGGAATTATTTAAAAACCAAAACTGAATGGGTACATCTGTGAGGGCATTTTTTTCCTTAATTTGAACTGGGAAGATACACTTGTAATCCAGATCTCTGAGGTGTAAAGAGACTCCTGGAAGTCTCTGATGGCATGTGAGTAGTCAGACCCCACCCCTGAGTATCTCCAACTGCTAGGCTAGTAGAACCCAGCCCCTCTAGATCCAAGCAGCTAAGCTCTTCCCTACAGAGTAAAAAAGCCCAAGCTCAGGACTTGAAAACCCACCAATGCCAACCATGGAAATAACCACTTGAAAGCTCTGCCACCCCCTGCTCCAAGAAATCCTGTATAAATCCTTCTGCTCAGTTCTCTTGATGCTTCTTGCTCAGTAGAGACAGCCACCCTCCTGGGATTTTCTTCTCAATAAATCTCTTGTGTGAGGTTTGTTGCACAGTGTGACTTTGTGGTATTCCTTGGTTCCCAACTACGAGGATACATTTCCCTTCAGAGCTATAACAACTGTATTGGAGAAACCTCCCCTCCCATTCCCCATATCACCCCGGGACAAACTGTAACACTTCCATCGGGGAAGCCTTTCACCTCAGAGTTGTAACACAAGACCATTAATCCAGATTTTTGAGGTGGGAAAATACACCTTTTGGGGGAGCCACACCTTCTGCTGGAAGCCTGTAGATCAATCCTCCTAATGCTGTGACCCTTTAATATAGTTCCTCATGTTGTAGTCACCCCCAACCATAATATTTTTTTGCTACTTCATAACTATAATTTTGCTACTGTTACAAATTATAACGTAAGATGATATGCAGGATATCTGATATTTGACCCTGTGAAAGGGTCATTCAGTCCCCAAAGAGATCATGACTCACAGGATGAGAACCATTGCCGTAGATTAAAAACATGGAAGAAGGAAGCTTTGGCTCTCTGCCTGCTTGCTCTTGCCTCACTGCAAGTCCATTCCTTCGCTGGCATCAGAGCCGACTTTTCCAGGGCTCTCGCATACACTGACGACCGGCTGAGACATCCAGTCTTGTGGACTAAACAACTGCTGGATTCTTGCCCGTTGCACTCATAGGCAGCCATTGCTGGGTTAGCTCCATCACAGCCTGAAATTCATTCTAATAAATCATATGCATATGCATTATAAGGAGAGAGAGGTTCATTCTATAAGTTCTGTTACTCTAAGGAATTCTGACTAGTATAGGGATCGTGCTATTTCTCCATGCAACCATTTTGATATCTATATTTTGGTTTTAGAAGTAAATAGACTCAGATATGGCTTTCGTCTGAGCGTTCCTTCCCACTCATCGGCTGTCCTGCTCTCCTCCACTCCATTGCACGGCGTGTTGCCTCCTGCCCAGGTGCTTCTGGAAGGTGAATTTTTCACCCTCATTTCTCTCTGCCTTGCTATTAACCTTCTTCTCACTGATTTTTAAAGCAGTGCTGATGGCTGCTGATGGACAAGCTCATATTACAGAAGCAACACCCATGAATTTTGAATGTATGATCCCACACAGGTGTGTCCTACTAGAAAGGCCAGGTATTTATGTGCCTTTTTTATACTTGCTGTGGTAATAAAAGTGTGTGATGTCTGTTTGGTAAGTCTTGGAGGATGTATACACTAATAAATCTAGATTAAAAGATACAGGAGTATAGGCCTGTAGGAAGTTAGAGAGACAGGGACACAGCCATCCTTGATTCCTTCCCAAAGGACTTGTTTGTGGCTGCTCTCTGGAGTTAGAACATACCTACACTCACTTATCTGTTGTCTCTTACACTGATGTCTCAGTGCCCTTGAACTGGGCAATATACAAGTAAGTTAACTCTACTATAAAAGTGAATGTAAATGATAGGAACCCATGCATGACATTTTTTCTTCAGTCATCCAATGCTTTCCTGGCTGTTCATTTTAAATGCACTTATTACTACTGATTATATACAATGGTTGAACTGGTAAATTTTGTTATGTGTGTATTTAACCTCTGGCTTAGTTAAAAATTATTGGTTTACCTAGCCATGAATAACAGCATGGCTTTAGGGTTTGAGTGCAAATCTCAAACTCAGGGTGCTCCATGATGTGTCTTAAATAAGACAGCAAGTCACTCTTCTCCTCGATTTCAGCTGGGCAGCCCCACAACTTCATCACTCACATCTGCACGTTGAGTGCATCCAAAGCAGAAGGCAATGTGACTCGGTATTAGTGCCAGCACCACAACTAACTGTGTGTCCTGTGTTTTAGCAACAGAAATGAGTACTAGACACAGCTATCCAAGCTGTTACCACTTACAACAGCCACACCTGGTAGATCTAATAATCCTCTGTTGCACCCTTCCCCCATGGGGATCTATCTGCTGACTGCTTGTACTAGGAGCTTTTAGCTAAAATCTTCTCATTTCCTCCTCTCAGCAATGCCTGCAGCAAGTTCCTGTTAACCATCCTTTGTTTAAATGCTAATTCCTGTTTTGGGCCCACCTTTTGCTGGAGGACCCTGGGAACAGAGGCTTCCACCTTGGGGATTTTCCACCATGCCTGCCTTTGATATTTAAGGCTCTACCCTTGTAAGAATAAATGCCATTCTCCTTGTAAGAATGAGCCGCTGTCTTTGTCTTCATTTTAAATCCTTAGCCCTTTGCCTCAGATTGTTGTGAAGTATTGTAGCACCATAGCAGCAAACACACCTGCGGCTCCCTACAATCCTCAACTACGGATGAAGAAACCGGGAATCAACAGCAGCTGATATCTCATCTCGAGTCATTCTATAATACAGGGAGACCTAGGACTCTGATGTGACAAGTCCCAAGCAAGACCACACCAATGAGCAGGAATAAGTCCGCCAAAGGCAGCATCCTAAAGCAGTGAGGTAGGTACTTCAAGTAGTACACTTAGTTAGGAGATGGGGCCACCATGTGTTCATCTTTCCTGTGTAATCATCACGAAGATACTATCTTTAAAAGTTGCCCTCTTTGAGGGGAGGTTTTTGTGCCAATTATTTATTTAACTATATCATGTCTCAAGTGCAATTCCTCTGATCATAAAGTATGTGCTTTTCCTAGAAACCCAGCACAATGGAAAAATCCCAGAATCTATGAGGGTGACCCTAGCTGAGACTCTTAGTAGAGGGGGATAAAGAGCCTGAACTGGCCACCTCCTGTAACCAGGTAAGACTTCCAGCGGAGAGACTAGGACACCAACCCAGCCACAAACCCTTCAGCCTACAATTTGTCCTGCCTACAAGACATGCTGGAGTAAAGATGGCACAGAAATAGTGGGAACAACCAGCTAATGAGTGGAGACCCCAGCTAAAGCCCCAATACCATGAAGGGAACTCACCTTTCTGAGGGCCAGGACCCAGAGGTTGGATACCTCAGATAGAACCAAACATGACTGGCAAAGAAAATATAAGGTCTATGATATTAATAATATTCCGCTATACTCACAGATTGGTGCCTACCCCAACTGGCACCAGAGAGAATTTTACCCAGTAACTGATGGAAACAGATCCTGAGACCCACCGTCAAACGTTAGATAGAACTCAGAGAATCCTGCCAAAGAGGAGAAAGAAGAATTGTAGGAGCCAGAGGAATCAAGGACATCACAAGAAATCACATTAAATCAACTAACCTGGGCTCACAGGGGCTCACAGAGATTGAACCAGCAACCAGAGAGCCTGCCTGGGACAGACCTAAGACCTCTGCATATGTGTTACAGTTGTGTAGCTTTGTCTTCTTGTGAGACCCCAAACAGTGAGGGCAGGGGCTGTCTCCGACTCTACTGCCTGCTTTTGGGACCCATTCCGCCTACCAGGTTGCCTCAACCAGCCTTAACAGAAGAGGAGGTGCCTACTCTCACTGCAACTTGATATACCATGGCTAGCTGATATCCATGGGGGGAGGAGTGGATGGGGGCAAAAGGGGAGGAACTGGGAGGATACTAGAGAGGGAAAACTTTGGTTAGGGTGTAAAGACAAAATAAGTGAACAAACAAAAACAACAACAAAAGAAATATTAATGAAAAACAATATGCTTTCTAAATTGTATTGAAACTGTTTAAAATTATGCTTTTCATGCTGGGAGAAGGAAAGTCCGTTTTGTCTGAGAATGCAGTTCCTGGTGAGCCAGCCACTCTTAAGTCGAAGGCCACACATCCAAGATCAATTGTGCAGCACAAACCGATCTTCATGAGTATCAGGTAAAAAGGGAACAAAGGTGGATGGGTAGGAAAGGGAATTTTCATAGAGTTTTTGGGAGAGGCTAGGTATAATCAACATGTGTTATAAAAATTCCCAAAGAACAAATAAAATATATTTAAATTATGCCTTTTAGTAAATACCCTTTTACATGGTGACCCTATCATCTCCAATAAGATTGGGGGAAAGGTTGAGTAACAAGTATAAGTAAAAGCTGAGCAGGCCCGAGGAATAGCCCTGTGAGTGTAGAGCTATCAATAGATATGGCCTCGATTTCAGCTGCCCTGATGCTATCAGACATACTTGGATAAACAAATTTGTCAAAGAAATAGATGCCATGGAAGTGTATAACAGATATTTTCATTTCTGTCTTCATCCTAGAAGACAGAAGTCCTGCTTCCAGATAAACCTGTTTCCTTCCCTGGGTCCCCTGCAGCAACCCTCAGAGCCAGCACGCTGCAGCTGCCTTCTTACCTTCGGCTCCTGTCTCCTTCCAAAGTCCAGTCAAATCAACCTTTACCTTTTTACTTCACTTGTCATTTTCCAGCTGGAAAACAACAAATTCGATCGCTGGTACATAAGCAACATCTGCTGCTAGATCTCCCAACTGGCAGGCCTGTTTCATGTCTTGCAGCCAAACATCAAGGGATGAGTTTATGTGTGTATCTTTCCCTTTGTATTAATAATAAGTGGGTCATTATGGCTATATAATGAGAGAGTGGCCTGATATGTCTTGTCACTTCCTTACCAAATCCATCTCATATGTGATCCATTAAGTGGCAGGGCATTTTCCTCTTAGCCATGTAGTATCATTTAGCTTCATCCAAATGAAACTCACTCTACAGCCATCAACTTTATTACTAACACCATCAACTTCACTGTTATCCCCTGTTATGGTGCATAGGGTGTTATACCCAGGATGGTCCTATACAACAGCATCAGAGGCTCATCCATGGGAGTTCATAGGCACAGTTTTACTACACAAAACAGCCACATTTGAGTTCCAGGTCAGACCTTACTACTGAGCTACTAGAGTTCCTGAAGCACAGAACTTCCCTTTACTGGACCATAGTCTTATCCTGGTTGTTTTTCTTCTCCTAGTCACACACCACACACACACACACACACACACACACACACACACACACACACACACCATCTGTGGCCATTAGCACACCAGGCTTGAATGCTGTAAGAAGGAACTCCCAGTCTCTAGTCAGGGAGTTGTGTCTAATCCCCTTGTATGACTGGGGCTGGCATCTGTCCGTGGGTGTCCCAAGGATGAGGAGAGAATACATGAAGTGATCCAGGCCTCCAAAAGTAAAGTAATAGAAAGAATACCTAAAGTAACTGAAAAAAAGTAAATGACAGAGGAAATACAGACAAATTCAGAAAAGACAAAAGAATCCTGGAGACAAAATTGGAAGCAAAAACTCAGTGAACTGCCTGTCTGGATCCTCACAGGCACACAGGTAGGGGGGTGGGGGTAAAGGATAAAGAATCTTCAGCAAGGAAAAAGACTTGACGGTGTCTAGAAATAAGTCTTATTTTTCACATCTTGAAATGTCCTCTGAGGCCAAAAGAACTTTCATATCCATTACTGCTACAGTGTTAATTACACTGATTCAAAACTCATAAAATCAAGCAGATATGCCTCATACATTAAAAGAAAACAAATAATCGTCTAGCAATTATAGTTAATACAATTGCTGCATTAAACATATAGCTAGTCATGATCTTGTGCGTGAGTGTGTCTGGCACTGTTTGTGCATGGAATCTTCCTAGCTGTGTTTGCTGTTCCTGTGGTAAAATGCACACAGCATAAAGATTTCTGCTTCAACTCTTTTTAAGTGTGCAGTTCAACGGTGGTGTATTCACAGTGCCACACAGTCGTCACTGGTATCTGTGTCCAGAACTTTTTCACTGTCCCAACAAAAATTTTGTGGTCATTAAACATCTCACTTTCTTCCATGATTTACTTACAATTCTTCTACTTCTTGATCTCTAACCCAACTAAACTTTTAAAAGTGGCCCCAGAATTCAGATGGTTCAAGCTGTATCTAAACTGAAGGCTCCCTTCCAGAAGTCTAGATGATATAGCACGATGCTAAGGTAGGAAAGAAATCAATAGCCTTATTCAGCTGTAATGAGTATGAATGAAACCCTGACCAGTATGGCAAGATGTCCCTAAAGGTCCAATAACGGCACTCATATCTTGGCAGTAACCAACAGTTGACTAACTGGATACAAAGCTCACTCCACAGGAGAGAGATCATGCCCAGTACTAGGGATCTGATCAGCCTCCTGGGTCTAGTGAGGTCATGGGTCTTAGAAAAGAAGCTGCTTCTACCCCTTTACCAGAACAGAATAATTCCTAACTACATTCAAAGACATTTCTCTTTACAGTAAAAGAGACCACAGCCAACTAGACACAACACGGACATCAACAGATGACTGGAAGCTTAGGCCCAGTGGAGAAATCTTCTCCTGCATATAAGACTCAGATAACATGGCAGGATTAGGGGCAGAAAGTTTGTAAGAGACAGAGGATCAAGAAGAATGTTGTGTGACTGGGTCTCCTAGAATTAGCTGCCAAACCACCTGAAGATTGGCAACATCAGTAGACATGTTACATGGAAAAGGGAAAGTCTAAAGGCACCTCACCACAGACAAAGACCTAGAGGAGATCCTGAAGTTCACATTATTGACCCCCACTTTTAACACATGCATAGTGCCCCATTCTTGTACATTGACTATGTGGGATAAACTTCCTTCCTACTATGACCTTCATTATGCAGAGGTTAAAAAATTACCTAAGTAACTTGCCCCAACTCACAGAGCTGTATAAATACTTGGATGCATGCCATATCTGATATCTAATGCTGTCAGAGAAATAGTTCTTTGAAAATAATCACTTTTTCAGTATTTTCTCTTTTCATTTTCCATTTTTCTTTTTTGTTTTCAATACATACCAACCATCATTTTGTCTCCCTCCTCTCCTCCTGGCCTCTCCTCCACCTCTCCTCCCCACCAGATCCACTTGCCTTCTCTTTCACTTCAGAAAAGTGCAGGCCTCTGAGGGACAGACACTGAGTGTAGCATAACACGTTACAATAAGACTGGGTAGGCACAAACCCTCATATCAAGGCTGGGTGAGGCAACCCAGTAGGAGGAGGAAAAGAGTCCCAAAAGCAGATGAAAGAGTCAGAGACAACCCACTCCCACTGTTAGGAATCTCACAAAAATATCAAGCTAACAACCACAGCGTATTTGCAGAGGACCTAGCAAAGACCCATGAAGGCTTTTTGATTTCCATTTCAGGCTCTGTGAGCCCCTATGAGCCCCCTGCTTAAGTAAATCTGCTGCTCAAGTACACTTGGTGACCTTGACCCCTCTTGTTCCTACAATTCTTCCTCCCCCTTTTCCATAGGGGGAGCACCAAGGGGAGGGACCAGAAGAAGAGCTTCAATTTGGGCCCTCTCTCCACCTAATTTTTGACTGTATATCTCTGTATCTCCTCCCATCAATTGCCCACGGAAGCCTCTCTGATCACAATTAGGCTAGGCATGGATGGATCTATGAGCAGACAAGAATATCATTAGAAATTATTTATTGATGTTTTTTTTCTCATACGTCTCTGGGCTATCCAGCCTCTGGTTTCTGTTCCTCCAGGCAGTGCTGAGCTGCTACTCAGGCCACGGGTCTCAAATTAGAAGAGTTATTTGTTGGATGCTCACGAAGTTCTGAGCCGTCATTGCACTAGCACATTTTATAGGCAGAACAGATAGCAGGTCAAAGGTTTTGTGGTTGGGTTGGTGTCCCAGTCCCACCACTGAGAACCTTGCCTTGTTACAGAGGATGGCCTGTCTGGGCTCCAAATCATCCATTACTAGGAGTACTCTCTAGGGTCACCCTTCCCTTGTAGAATCCTGTGAGTTTCTACGGTAGTACGTTTCCACACCACCACTCCCAATGCCCTCCAATTCCAGTCATCTCTCCCCATAGTCTCTTCCTCCATTCCTTCCCCCCAAATGATTCCACCTGCCCCAGCTCACTCCCAAAATCTATTCTATCTACTTTTCCCAAGAAGATCTACACATCCCTTTTAGAGTTTTCCTTGTTATGTAGCCTCTCTGGGTCTGTGGATTTTCGCATGATTATCCTTTACAGTTAATATCTGCTCATAAGTGAGTACATACCACGTTTGTCCTTCTGGGTCTGGGTTACCTCACTCAGAATGATTTCTTCAAGTTCCATCCACTTGTCTTCAAATTTCGTGTTGTCAATGTTTTTAAACAGCTGAATAATACTCCATTGTGTAAATGTACCACATTTTCTTTATACATTCTTCTGTTGAGTGACATCTAGGTTGTTTCCAGTTTCTGGCTACTATGAATAAAGCTCAGCAAGTATCTTTGTGGTAGCATGGAGCATCCTTTGGGTATATGCCAAAGAGTGGAAAAGCTGGGTCTTGGGGTAGATTGATTCCCAGTTTTCTGAGGAACTGCTATATTGATTTCTGTAGTGATTGTATAAGTTGCCACTCCCAACAGCAATAGAGGAGTGTTCCCGTTGATCTACATCCTCTCCAGCAAAAGCTGTCACTTGTATTACTGTATATTAGTCCTTCTGATAGGTGCAAGATGGAATCTCATTGTAGCTGTATCTTGCAATTCACTGATGGTTAAGGATGTTGATTTTTTATGATTTTCAGTCATTTGAGTTTCCTCTATTGAGAATTCTGTTAGGTTCTATACATCATTTACAACTGGATTATTTGTTTTCTTGATATCTAGTTTCTTGAGTTCTTCTTATATTTTCTATAAGAGTTTAGTTGATCAGGAAAACTGATTTTTGAAAGTTACTTTGACTTTTCACATTCACCTTGACAAATTATGTGAAATGTTCTGGAGGACACTTGTGAGTTGGTTTCAAACCCCACAGAAAACAGGAATCCTCCTCCCTTCTTCTTCCCTCAACCCCTGACCTCTCTATCAGAAGCACAGTTGCCTTCAATGTGGAGTTTTCCTCTCCATTATAAAGTTCACTTTTCATCCTAATCTTATTTCAGAGATAGAGTCAGTTAGCCTTCCTGGTATGGCAGTAAAAAGCCCCTGGTGAACATCAGCTTACCAAGATATAAACTGTCTGGGAAATTATGCTTGATGAAAATTGGGAGTTCTACCATTAAAAAAAAAACAATTTGTGAATGCAAACCGCTTTTATTTGGTTGAACTAATCAGGGGTGGGTCAGGCTGAAACCATTTTTTAAAAAATCCAGATATGAAAGTATTTTGTTTGGAGAACCATTATTTTATGACTCCCAAATACTCCAGATAATCTTAGCTTGTCTCGGAACTTATATACTCTTGAAACGGCCACCAGAGTCCTGAGGATCTGCACTGAGGGATGGGTGGGCATGGTTCCCTAATCAGCATATCCACTATTAATGAAGATGAGGAGATCAGCAGTGCTTGGAAAGTATTTTTCCAAGCAGATTCCTTTAGACCTCTAATTTGTGCTCAGAAAGAGAACATCAATCAAGAATGTGCAGCATAGAATAAGTTTCCTAATGGCATCCTTACTGGTTTTAGCCTAGTACAGCTTAATATTGGTCAGGTTTCAATCACGGTATGTAACCAATGTCATCCAAATCGACATTAGGAAAATAGTGAAGTTCACTTTCATAAAATAATGTCTTTTTCTGGAGGAAGATTAAAAAAAAAAAAAGATGGTCCATGAAGTGACATGTGCAAAGTATACAGAGTTAGAAACTTAAAGAAGAGAACTGTCCCTTCCAGAACAAGAGTCTCATCTTTAGCCAAAATGAGGACAACATGGAGGACTGAGTTTAAGAATACTCATTATTTTCCCATTTAGATAAACTCACTATTTCGTGCGGTTTACTCTCATTCCAAATGCCCCTATCCTAACACAAATGTGATTGCCATCGATGCTTTTCAACTTTATGAGGCTACCCAACCCCTCCCACTA